AGAATAGTGTCAAAATAGGTTCTCGTCTATTAGCATTCAAAAACAGAAATTAACGATTAAGTGTAAAAATATTTTATGGAATTTATGGACACGTGAATGCCAATTAAATTAAAATGCCTGGTAGCGAAATCTTGGATATTGATTTTCATTATATGACAGATAGGAGTGTAACTAAAATAGAATACCATTCATAAATTCTACGTACAAATTCGTTTACTAATAAAAAAATTAAGATATTACTGATATTAGTATAACAGTCAGACGCGTATCCGTATCTTCATGAATGTTTTATTTATATAACTGACTATTTGATCAAGTAAGATTTAAAATTAACAGGGTGGATATGGATAGAACTCGTGCTCTAGGGGTAACAAGGTCGATAAAAATCTATCTATCGTATGTATCAGATGAATTTAATTGCTATGAAAAATCCCACATGTGAACGTAGATGATAACGAAAAGTTGAGGTTGGTGAAAAACACAAAAAAAAGAAAAAAAGCTTTATACTCCACTTAGATCATACAAAAAATATGAATATCCAGAACTCGGTAACTTGAAAAAATTTGTCTGAAATTTACAAACCGTTTCCAAGCTAGAAATACTACTATACTTGAATTCTAACATGCATCTGTAAAACGATTTGAACTTATATTCCAGTAAAAAAAAAATACTATGCATTATTATATGATATGTAAACGCCATTACAAGAGTCTTATTATGAAAATGAGACGTGAAGTCCTATACGGCGTTTTGCTCGGAAAAAAAATAAGAGTGTGAGAAATAAAATTTGAGAAAAAATACAAAATCTATAAGTTGGTGCCTTTTTTTTTTTTTTATAATATTTCACTGTTACTATAATATCTACCAAACATATTTTATATCTATGATAATAATTAACATAATTAAAAATTAAAACTATACACTACCTTATTTTTCTAAGAAAACCGAAACTACCAAGGAACTCCAAACAAATACATACAAAAAAAAGTGAATGGTAGGGTGTAACACCGTCATCCCCTCCTCATCCGTGAGCACAACCTTGTTTTTCCACGATGTACTGCGTATCATTAAAAAAAAATACATAACGATTGGATGAGTATTTTCGGAGAATACCCCGGACATCAAAATGGCACTTAGTTTTTTATATAAATAAAAACCAAAATATTAAAAATTGGCACTGGCAACACCGGTCAGAACAGCTTATACAGGCTGTCCAACGAAGATACACCCCTTGAATATCTAATTAATTAACGCGGTTATGTTATTACCTAAAATCTGGGTAAAATCGGTTTTTACACGGATTAGTAGAATTTAAAACGGCTGTTACTTAGAAACTGTTCATCAGATATAAATGTGTGGTGCATTAAAATTTTTAAAAAATTAAACTTTACAGAATCGCCGTATTAAAATTTTTCGAAAATAATAAAATAAAGTTATTTTTTAAATTTGTTTACCAAAAAAAAAAAAAATTAATTCAAATATAAATATTTGTAGTCCTCATTCTTGCGATTAACATAAAAAAAAAATAAATAGAATTTCATTATATTTATATCTTTTTTATCAAATTTTTAATTCGTAACCGGTCGTATAGTACACATAATATCGTACAACTCCAGACAAAACATCCTTTTATTTATTTTTTTATTTCTAATTATTAATTATTTATTTGTATAATTATTTACGAATATTAACCATATAATAATTTTGTTTTACTTTAATATTTTATTATATGTTTTATGTATGTTTTACTTATTACCCGTGAACTGATGTGTACACAATATCGATTTCTTCATTGGCAATTAAAATTTAACACTTTATCTACAATCACAACAAAAAAAATACGTAGTTACCTATATACACACTCATAGAATCTATACCATAGACATAATAAGAATTTACCCATGACAACCCAGTTAACTAATAATATTTGTTTTTGCATCCATATATTATCAAGGTAACTCATTAATAAAAAAGTTATCTTATCTTTGTACTAAAAGTACCTAAAACCCGGTTTTTGTGGGCGATAGTGGAGCTATCGAAGAATGTCATAGATGTACTGTGTCAGAAACCTTCACGGGAGTGTACTCAACAACTTCCCAAAGTTTCATGGCGATCGAATGAACGGTTTAGAAAGGCATAAGAGACATACAGACAAAAATTATTTTTTATGTATATAGATTATTCCTACATATATATATATACTTGTAATTTGAGACTCGAGAGGATACCAAACCCACAGTACAACATAGAAACATAGGGCATCATAGGCAATATAGTAGAATGACGTTACATAGAACGTAAACGTTGAAATTATACTTGAATTATAGTTTAAATGCAAATAACACAATTTATAGAGGATAATGTGTTTAGGGGTTGTAGTTAGATTAGTTATAAAAACATTGTCTTACAAGTTGTAAATATTTAAAAAAAACAAAACTAACACAGTGATAACTTTTAGTTTATCATAATTTTTTAGGAAAAAATAATGTACGACCCTCAAAAATATTCTTCTCTTAAAATATTGTTATTTGTATTTGAACGCTTCTTTCAACCCAGAGGTCAAAATGTACGTTCTAAGTAATTTAATTTTGCTCTGTTGCCCGGTAGACTGAGACAGTAGATGCTAATGTGGCGCCCTCAAAATAAATATCTATATTTACATACCTACGTTTTATATACCTTAGAATATTTATCCGGTTTTTATATTTAAAAAATATCTTACCTATATATTTATCCAATAAATACAACTAATCAATTCAATATTTACCATAATTTCATCTCTAAATAATTTATAGTCAACTTGATAAATATACTTCAATTTGGCTATTGTATACGTTGTTGAAAAATGTTAATAATTTAATGACATCATACCTATATTGAATATTCAAACACAATTATTCTAGAACAGCATGTCAGATAATTTAATTATCAATAAATATATTGACCTGTGTTACTATAAATTAACAGAATTATTATTGTTCAAAATATTACCAGTGTGTAATATTATTGTTTTTTGTTAGAGCAGTTTGTTTAGAATATATTATAGTATTTGTAATAGGTGTATTGGTATTGAATGTGGGCGGGGTCTTAGGGGGCTATACCCCCTAAATATGTCATTAAATACCCGCAGGACCATGCAGGAAAAGTTTTTCTTGTTACTATTTTTTATTATTTCATTGCATATATGTACAAAATATTTTAGAGGATTATTCTATACATCGTTAATAAAAAAGAAATATTAAATGTTGTGATGGGCGTCTTTTTAATGAGCTCTGTGAGTTATAAAAAAATACAAGATAATGTAAATCATAAAACGTTAGGTTCCTATATTTTTATACTTCAAATAATATAATATCTAATACCTATGATATTTAAATTTATATTTAAACAGACAAACAATAAATAAAGAAGTGATAGTAATAACTAACTCAACTAAAAACAGTTATAATAAACATATTATAATTAATGTGAAAAAAAAGTTACTATGGACGGGTGTACCAATGTTGTAGGTGGGAAGTCAGGAAGGTTGGATACATAAAGTTATTTATCTGAAACAACGATAAACAATTTCAAATGAAAAACGATTCGATGCGAAGTTCGGTTATACATGTTTTAAAAGACCTTTAATATTTAAGATTTTCGTCAAAATTTGATTTTAAAACTATTATAAAAAAAAACAAAAATACTAAATTATTTTCAATTTTATCAAAAAAATAAAACTTATAATGAATTTCTCGTGTAATTTTCAAGCTTTTCTATTTAGTATACAAATTTTATTCACAGAGTACCTACCAAATAAAAATTTATTTATTTATTAAATTATTTCGTTTATATTATCGTTTAATTAAAGATTAATTGTTGCTTACAGCTGATATACATTACATTCTATACTTTACCTTCTTAACTTCTTATCTACAACAATGGCCCACCCATCATATGAAATACGTACGGGTCTTTTTTAATGAAATTTTACCGACTTATTTAAATTTTATATACTTCAACTGCAGTATATTTAACTGTTTTATCAAACACATTGTCAATTGTCACACACGATATTCAGGAATGTTTATAATTTCGATTATTTATTGATTCTTATTGAACCTAAAAAATCTAATTTTGTCTGACATGGCGGATAAAAATCAAATCGATTTATTTCATCAAAATTATTGAACGAATCGATTTATTATATCGTTTGTTCATTTATCAACAAATTGTTCAGTGAATTGGGTCGTTCGCAAACGACACATCTTTAATATACGGTTTTGTATAATTTCTTCTGACAGTCGGACAGTCAAATCGAATTGGATAGGATAGGAAATAGGTTCAATTTTATATGACTACGGATATGCCAATGGCAATCAGTGCAAGCATTTAGACGAAGTGTCTAATCTTTACCCATATCAATATTTGTAGTTATATAATAAATTGCCTATTTTGTTTTAAATTTGGTAAACCACGTTTTAAAAAACATTTTTAAAAAACAAGAAAAACATTTTTAAAAAAACTCGTTTTAAAAATAAAATCTATATTTTAAACAATAAAAATTGTTTTTTATTTTTTAAAAAACATATTTTTATCAACCCTACGCCTATTACTATTTGTTTTATATAAACGGAGGGTGGGAAAATAAGTTATAACGTAAAACCTTTAAACACCCAAAAATGTATGGACATTACATTCATTCGAGGAAAATAGATAAACAAAAAAAAATTATAAGAGTATTGGGCCTAATGATATTTAATTAAATTTAAGTAATATAAATTTGTTTAAAAACTATTGCTAACAACGAAGGTGTTCAATGGACAAATAGAAACATGATTCGAAAATTTGCTAATAATAAATAATAATCAATAAGATAATGCCTAATAGGCAATTATACAAATTTGTCATTTGATAACTTTAAAATTATAATGATTCAGATATCATGGAAAATTAAACGACCGTTTAAAAATATTAAAGAGTTTATCAAGTCTTAACGTTATTATTATGATTATAATACGTGTACCGTCAGTTGTGATGCGCGACACGTAAAATGAATCGGGATCTTACTTCATAATGTCTAGTCGTCGTTAAAGGTTCGCATTCAATAATATTATTATTTCGTTGAAGATTAACGTATCGGAGAGGACACCGGTCAAGATAAACGGGAAAATAGACGTTCTTAATACACACATATTTTCCACGGTTTAACATTATTGACTTGTTTATATTGTTGTATATTATTGACATTATTGACAAATTATATAGACGCTATATAAAAACAGATTTTATCGTGAGTAATTGTTTATAAAATCGTACAGAATACTAACATAATATTAAGTATAGTTAACGAGAACAATGTGTCAATCTATGTTCAGCTTCAGTGCTTCACGCTGGTTAGTTGGACCACACGTGGTCTTTATACAATTCATTGCTCGCCATTTTTTCGGATTATTTACACTTTTAAGAATCGGAATGGGATGTTGCTCTAGTCCGCCCGCCCAATTTCTTTTTTTTCAGATATCGTTTATCTTCTGGATTTTATTCTAGTTAATGCACATTTTTTATTACGCTATTCAACCGCCATATGCGTTCTGTACAGACGGTTCATTCGTCTTCGATTAGGTCAACTTAAAAGTCAGTCTAAAAAGTTCTTTTATTCTGGCATTCGTTTGTCTTTCATATACCATATTCAACTGTTTGCTTATTCACCCTTTCATTTTCCTTTAGTCCGAATATTCGCAGAAAGAAGTTCACTTTTCAGAACCACCAATTGTATTGGTATACTTACACTTAACATAATATAGGCAGAGCCGTACTTAGAGGGGTGCGAGAAATATACATGTGCACCGGGTGATATGACCACGAGAGCGCCAGAGATCAGAGAGGCTCTAATGGAAAATTTTAAAAGTTCTGTAACTGAATATTTTTACAATAAACGTATAAGTGAATGCTGACAGCCAGGTTTTTATTTTTATTTTTGGCTATCGGTAAATTTTTCTGGCACCGAGCGATGATTTTGCTAAGTACTGAATATAGGTATTGTATGGCTCTTCTTTTTTTTTTTAGATATTTAGTGAAGTGAGGAATATATAGGTTTTAACGCTATGCGTTTTTTTTTTGTGCTCGCCTGTAAACGACTTTTCTATCATAAATCTTGATCTAATCAAAAACTTTATAAGAACTGTGTTGTGTAGAATTTTTGATTTAGTTGGTGCACTGAGGAAATGAGGTTTGATTTTTCTTGAAATTTTCTTAATAAATGGAAAGCTGTCAATTTTCGTGGAATTTTGTTGATTTTTGGATTACCTTAGTAAGGAAGGGAAAAATATCACTAATGAAACTTTGTTCAGAATCGTTTTCATTTGGCAATGGTTTATCGTTACGACGATGCTGCGTACAAATATAAATTGAATTACTCTATCTTCCTCTTACTCTTACTCTTATATACCTATCTTCCCTTCCACACTTCCATTCTGAGACACTGGCACAACTAATTTGTTCTAATGGACTTTTTAATTTTTAATTTCGTAAATATTATACTTTTATAATATACAGCGCATTTTCCATAATGTCTATTGGTAATTATATTCAAGTCATACGTATAATAGGTGCTATAGGTTAAATTATATGTTGACATATATAAAATAAAAAATATATTTAATATTTACACAGATAATAAATATCGATTACAATATGGGAATTTAATTAATGAAGTCTATAGTAATTTTCAATCCTTTTAAAATGCATTGGTACACGTTTATTAATTTGACTTAATTCTTCAGAATTGTATTTGCGCGAAACTTAAATGGCTATATATTATAATTCTATATTAAACCTGTAAAAAAAAAAAAAAGAGTTAAAATAGAAAAAACCGGATATTACATGATGGGTACGCCGCTGTTATAGGTTGAAAGCTAAGCTATGCTACATAAAGCTATTTAATTTATATCTATGTAAGTAATAATAAACCATCGTTAATGAAAATCGATTCGGAGCGAAGTTTGTTTAAACATTATTAGAGAGAATATAATTTTTACGATTTTTATCAATCAAATTTTTAAAGTCATTATAAAAAAAAAATTACTATATTACACACTACTGTTTTTTTAACCACTAAGTACAACACATAATGAACATCCTGTTAAATTTGTACGCATTTCTGTTTTTTAAGTAATTTTATCCATATAGTATTTATTGAATAAAAACTATGTAAAAAAAAATTAAAATATATTCTTCGCTACACATTGAATCTAAAAACTTAAAGTGTTTTTAGAAATACCTCAAAAATCAATGTTTTGAAAATTTTAACACGTCTTACAATGTTTTCGGTCAAAATTTTAAATCTTTACGAATATTTTTATTAAAATTTATATTTTTATCTAAACTATAACAAAAAAAAAAAAATGTACATAAAATAATAAAATCATTATTTTCGTTAACTTTCCTGTTCTCTCTATTTTTTTTTTCAGTTATGCGAAATTATTAAAAAAAATTTACTCAAAATCAAAAAAATGAAATGCTTATTCACCAACTAGATTATAAATTCAACAAAAAAAAAATCTCCTATCGTTCTTCTATTGGAGAAATATTTCTGGTGAAGAACATAAAGCGTAAAAATTAAAAATAATGAACACATAGCCCCGTAAATTTATTAGTCTTCATTTTTTTATCTTTTTCCGGGTTGTTCCGATTATTATGAAAACTACTAGGAAAATCAAAACACGATTTTTTTGTGAGCAACTAGATTCAAATGCAACAAAAAAAAGGTCTCTAGGCATTTTTTTATTAAAATAATATTTCTAGTAGAAAACTTAGGTTGCAATAATTTAAAATATTGAAATCAGTAATGCCACGTCGAGCCTTAAATATTTGCCGTTTTACTAACAAATTTATGACGATTTTTACGAAAACTCCTAGGAAATCAATAAATTACCTTCTCAGTACACTATAACTATATAAAATTTCCTTTTAGAAAAAATGCTACACTTGATGTATCGGGGTAAGATTTCTGGTAGAAGTTGCTCACAGAAACAAAAAAAAAAAAAAATACAAAAATACAAAACACACATCGCTACGCTCCGAATTTAAGAAAACACTTTTGGTTAAATTTTTCCCGAATATAGAGTCTATTGCAATGTATTGTGTTTGTTATATATATATTTATTTATACATAGTGACCAATATAACGTATGATATTCATTATCTCGGAAAGAAATAACATTTTTTGGAATTTGTTTTATAGAATATTTTGTTCTGAAATGTTATATTAAAGTTATCTTTTATCACTCTTATTTTTTTTTGGGAGTGAATCGTCTACTCATTGCAACCAATGTTAAACACTTCATAAATTTAATATGAAGTTTTAGTTTAAAGTTCAGTTTTTTATGTTGATATTTATAATTTCCATCAACCCGATGACGAGTTGATATTCTACTTTTAAGTTTTGTTAAGATGAGAGTAGTGAGTGCAACATTTGCGAAGTGGCACGGTTCACAGCGTTTCTACTATTCTCCACCGACCCATGTGCACCGACCTACATGTACAAAACGGCAAATTTAAAAGTGGAATATCTTGTCGACGGGTTGGCGGAAATTTAAAATGCCCATACAAAAATGTATTTAAATTAAAACGTCATATATTTATGGGATTTTTATTATAGGTGTTATTTGAAAATAAAAATTGAATAATGTTATCACCTCCGAAAATAAGGGCGACAAAAAAATAACGGTAACCTAACATTTTAGAGTTGATAATTTCTTAAATTGTGTATTTAATAAATTTCGAAAAAAGTTAATACCTTCCGATATAATGAGTGTTTCAGTAGCGTCGAACCCTATGTTAAGGTTGGGCTTTAGCTCGACTTCTTTAAAAATTAAGCATTGAACTGTTTCTTTTTGGGCCTAAGTTTGGTTACCAACCGAATTAATACTTCATCACAGAAATAAAAATCTACGCTAACCATAGTTTTAGACATAAAATGAGCCATGTTTAGTTATCTGACTACATTTTTAAGATTTTGACTGGAATGTCTTGCGTTCAGTTGAGTACCGATAGGGTTGCATGATGGGCAATAAGTTACGGGCCCATGACATTTAGGGGCCACAAATTGTGGCCGAAAGCATTATTTTAGTGAATGGACAGGCGAATAAAAAAAAAAAGTATTAAGATAGTGTCATATGACATTAAAGGATATATAAGAGTGGACGGGCAGATGTATGAAAACAGATAATGACCTTTTTTATTATGTTAATTGGGTCCCAACTCGGATTGCACATATTTTTGGATACTTTTAGCGGTTTATTCTGGATCAAATAATTTCAAATTCAGGATTCAGGATTTTTTGTAGGCGTATAGAAGTAATAAAATGTTTTATACATACAATTTCGAAATTAATTTTACCATATTGTTACCCAATCATTACCAGGATATTTTTTACACCTGAATAAGAGAAAGAGTAGCATAACGTATAAGAGAGGTGCATAGCCGTAGGTTTCAAGAAAGGGGGCTAAAAGAACTAAACTGCATTTGTTCTATTTGTAATGAGCAAACCTTTTACTGCATTTCTAGGGGCCTAGAGGAGATTTTAGGGGTGTAATATAGCCCCCTTAGACTTTCCGCATTATACGCCTATGGATAGGACAACGGGTAGATGCAGTCAATAAGTGTTAACGTATGTAAGAAACCAAAAGAAAATTTTAAAAATGTAACAAAATTCTGACAAATTTTAATTAGGTATTGTCTATTTTAGATGAAATAGAAAAAAAAAAGGAAATATTGTAACGGCAACAAGTCTGCTGGAGGAAAATTCGATTTTGCTGTTCACAGGTGTTTTTTCTCTAGCAATATCATAATTTTGTTTTCAAATCACATTTAAATCACCTCGTATTATTTGTATACACTTTTTTTACCGATATATTATTGATAATTATAGCTACATCATAACTAACACCACATACTGTTTTATAAATGTATAATCACTATTACAACTATAAACATAACTTGTGTTTTTTTGTAAAATGCTTTACCTATCATTGTAAAAGACGATTTTTCGTTTTGTTCAACTATGCCTAATACTAATACCATAACAACTATTATTGTAAAACTGTATCAACATTATAAAACATGTTGGAACAATTAAAATATATATATTTGAAAACAAATATTTAATTATAAATTTATTAATTTTGTATTTTACACGTGTGAAGTTTAAATATATATATTTAATAACAAATATTTAATTAAATTGAATAATTTTGTTTTTTACAAGTTCAAATATATTATAAAATGTAGATACTGGCCATTTTTAATTTAAAGTTAAATAAAGAGTAGGTATCTATTAATTTCTGGACTATTTAAATTTTTTTTTAAAACTGCATAATTACATATATCATAATGTGTATCGGTACCTAGCTTAAATAGGTTACAAGGTTATCATTTTTAACATAAATCACCTTAATATATTGTTATCTTCCATTTTAGTAATAAGTTTTTATTTTTATTTTATTAGGTATCTATTTATTTATTTTAAACACTTTCAATTCGATAATTATAGGGAGCTGATATCCTTATATCTCTATTTAAATACGAATTATTCTTACATACATTTTTATTAAATATCATTGATAATAAACATAGTAATAATTATATTAATCACGCGATACATTAATTATTATAGTTAATAGAAAAAAATTTAAAAGTTAAATCATTTTTTTTAAAATTAATTAACAAAATATAGAGAATAATTCCATTAATTTATTAAGACATGTTAAATAATAAGATTATTATAAGTATTTAAAAATATTTAAGTAGGTATATAGCTGATTTGAAGAGAAAAGTTTTAAATGTTCAGTATTATATTATTATATAAGGAAGATCTTTATAGTTAATAGGTACTAGTAATACTTAAATATTTTAGCCACAAATGACAAATATTGAATTAAACACATTGATCTGTATACAAGTCATAATGTCTAATTTTACGTACAGGAGTACGTGGCCGAAAGTCCGTTTATTTAGATGAAATTTTGTTTTTTTAAATAAATAATAATAAACTTATCATCATAATAAAATTAGTTTAAACATTATTGATGAGTGAGATAGAAAATATAAGAACGTCTGAGTTTAATGTTCAGCATGGCATATTTCATTACAGATTATCTATGATTCTGCAGTAGTAGTATGATGGTGTGCGTTAGCAGAACTAATCAAATTTTATACTTATATTTATATCTAATTATAATATTAAACAATAAATTAGTACTTTAAGTCCCTCCTTTCTAAATAGTTGACATTCTAAAAAAAATGTATTCATTTTTTCAGGTACAGACTAAATTTTCATGTCAAAAAAATTATAAACTACCGAAATTGAAGCATGTTAATTATATATTATAATTGATAATAAAAGTATATAATATATACCTTCGATAATTTTATTTAGCCCCCCCCTCTAAAAAAAACCCTGGGTGGAGCACATCTAATTATTTGATCTAAAAAGTGACGTTTTAAAATTAGTTGACCCATAGTTTTCAAATTCTGGAATCGCCACTGCCGTGTAGATCAAATACAGTTTCTATTACACCATATTATTTAATCGATGAAAAAACCATGTAACACAAACAAAGGGCTAAATATTATAGCACCAGTATTCGTGAAAATCATAATTTGTTATATTTATATTTGATCTATCATTTATTGGTTCTTCGTTTTTTTAAATTTTCAACTTCGTTTTTAGTTATTCAATCGAATGCAAACGTCTTGTCTTATATCAACTTTACGTTCTGTTGAAAAAGGAATTCGTCGAATATTGTACAATGTAATCATGCCCACCCACTTTTGGTAACTAGAAAAATAATCTACTGCATAATCTCGACATTTACTTTATAGTCATAATAAACTGGTAACTGACGAAATCGTCTTCTGTTTTATTACAAAAATTCTAGGATTTTGAATACGTTGATAGATGATCGTTTAAAATCAAACATATTATAACCTTTAATCAGATTTACGTTTGACGGTGCCCACACACTGCCGTGGTAGCGGTAGCGGTTTAATAGAACCTATGTATTCTTATTTGAGTCCATACACTGCAACGGCTGTGGTAAAATATCGTGTCACGGTTTTTATAAAAACCGCTACATGACTGAATTTTACCGCTACCGCCAGCGGGGATTTCAGTTTTTTTTTATCATTTTATCATATTTTATTATTTTGTAGGTATAGGTGTAGGTAAATAAATAATAAAAATAAATAAATATTTAATTAGAAATATGTATTAAACCAGGTACATACACAAAAAAAATTCAGGTGGGAGGAGGGGATTCATAAAAAATTTATAATAATCAATATTTATAAAAAAAATATTAAATTTATATAAAAAAATTACACAACTATTAATTTTCGGGGGGGGGGGGGTGAACCCCTCGTAGTAAAATGCTACCGTCACCGCAACAGTGTGAACATGGTGGTGGTTTGTTGTATCGCTACCGCTACCACTGCAGTGTGTGAGTACCTTTGATTTTTAAGTATTTAAGGGGTTTTTTTTGTAAAATATTTATGTAATAAGTAACTTGTTATTCCGAATATTCGGACTTTTTTAAATTTTGATTTAGTTATAGCAAGAACTATGAATTTAAGGCATTATAAAACCTTAAAAAATGTATTTAATATCTTAAAACAATTTAAATAACTTAACCGTGTACAGATTTTGAAAATTTACTACTGATATATTGTAAATTTTCAATTATTATTAATCAACACTTTTACAATATAATTTATTTACTATTCAAATTATATACGTTGTCATTATGATACAAAAAAAACATTTTTTCCAAATTACTTTAATTTAAACAAAAACGAGAAGTTTTTTCGGCACTTATATATTTTTAAATTATCATATATTATGTGATATGAATTTATGTAATAGTGATGCGTTGAATATTTTTAAGTAATATATTCACGTTTTATTTATCAAACCGTAGACTTTCAACGGATAACATTATCTATATATTATAGAGATTATTATTAGGTATTCTTATGTAAAATGTTCAAATATTATTGTATAATTTACAGATAAACTACAAGATTGGAACCATAAGAAAATATGAAAGAGACCAACAAAAAAAATGCACTGTTTAAATATTTAGGTAAAGTATGCCACACATAAACAATAATTAAAAGTATAGTGAAATGTATATAGTTCAAATAATTTCAAAAACCTAACTTAAAATTTTTTTATACATAATATAAATAAATGAATCAATGCGTCACATGGAGTATTATGATAAGTGTATTACACGACCGGTTTCGAATTGACAATTCATCATCAGGTATACCATAGTCAAAATGTAAAACGTGACTCATAGTACTCCAGACGACGCATTGGTTCATTTATTTTATTTTTATATTACATACATTTTAAATTCCGAGCGTAGCGAGGGAGCGATTGGTTTTACTAAAAAGTTTATTTTTTTTTCTTTCTTTGTTCTAGTCTGTGGACACGTTTTTTCCTAGTGAATTTAGTCCGGTGTATAAGTGCAGCACTTTTTCTGAAAGCTCAATTTGTCTATTCATATCTCAGATTGTACTTTAAACATATCATTTTTTGATTTTCGACGCCATTTTTTAAATTAAAGCACTAAGGTGAGAAAAAACGTAGGAAAACGTACAATTTCACGATTTCATTATTTTATAAAAATACGGACGACGTTTTCTACCAGAAAAAATGATTTAATCGAAAAATCATTAAACACATTTTTTGCTGCCTTTTTGATTTAATTTCTTACGGTATCATCGCCAAAACTTTTGAGTTACTTTTAAACTTTTAAGGAATTTTAACTTTCGGGAGTTTTTTGCTGTAATTCGGTTATAAATACACGTAGTGACTTGAAATTTGGTAATAATACTTATATAAAACTTTCCTAGATGTGATAAAATTTCCGAAATCAGCGGACGAATTTTTTTTTCATAAGGGTTTCTAAATCAAATTACGGCACTTTAAATTATGTATTACCGAACTGCGCTCGGAATCGTCTTTCGTCAAGCAATGGTATATCGTTGCTTACAGATATAAAAGAAATAACCTTATGTATTCTACATTCTCAGCTTCTCACCTACAACAATGGCTGCTTCCGTCCTCAGTATCAGCTTTTTTTTTTATTTACTTAATTTATTTATGAGTATTTTCCATTTTAATAATATTGTTTTTACTTTATTATTTTATTATTAAAAATTTTTGTTTTTTCAACAAACATTTTTAAGGTTAGATGAAAAATGTTTACCTACGTTGCTACATGAAAAAAGTTATTAGATCGCTTCAAAAAGTTATGGAATAGTTTTGATATTTAAAAATATTGGCTTATTGAAAGTACATATTATAATATATTATTACCGTATTGCTTGTACTGTGCAAGTATATTTAAATGCATATTTTCTATTTAAATGTGTTTATTTTTAAATACGCAGTACCTACTTAATTTTTATAGACATGTAATCGGTATCATTCGTATAATGGCAATAATTATTATTAACTATTTTATGTTAAATACATCCAGTTCACGAGGAGATTGCTTTCATTACGTAGATAGTTATTATTATTATCTTACATGTATATAGGTTGCATACTTAAAAGGATTTATTATCACATAAAGATTAAGTTTTTAAAGTTAATTTGATTACCAAACTAATGAAGGCAGTTATACGTTTGACTTGTTATATTTATTTTAGCTCGTTTAGCTAATTATTTATCAGTAGCATATTTCCGGGGGGGGTGATGGTGGTATATTACCCTGGGTCATATTAAGGGATACTGTTTAGGAAAGTAAACATAAATATGATACTTCTTATTAAAAAGTATATGCCATTTTTTTACAAATAAATTACCCTACAATTTTTTTCTCGCTTTGCTCAAAATATTTCAATATTAAGCAAGCAATTAAATATTTCATGGAAAGTTTTCCTTCCGTATTATTATGGCTAAAACTGTATGAATTAAATCAGATTAGCCTATATTTCCCAGAATATCATTTTCCATGTATAATAGTGCCGAGGAAGTAATTTTTCTTACGAGTGTTGATCGTTAGTAATTTTTAATTCTTCTAAGGACAGAGTATAATCATTCACTATTTATATTTGAAAAACGGAACACATGCATATTATTTCCTTAAAATAATTAACACATTAGGAAAAATCACTGCCAAAGAAGAATTAGGTAGTTTAACTAAACTACCTAATTCTTCTGCCTTGTTAACTAATAAGGCAGATTATTGTTAAAACTTTTTTGGCAAATAATATGGTAACTTTCTGAAACTAGACTAATTCTTTGATAAGGATGTGTCAACATTTTGGTTGTATACATTTACAACAATGTATTTATACACGTACGTAAAGTTTGCACCACATGTATAACATGCTTCAACCAAATATATCTAACAATCTTATTTCAGACTTATTAGACGTTATTTGAAAGTTGTTAAAATTTCTGAGACGTTTTAGATTTTTCACGAGGGATCTATAGATTTACATATACTTATCTATAGATGTATGGTTTTGTATATTTGTTTTTTCTGTCTGCAAACATCTTTTCAACCAGAAATATTGATCCGATGAATTAAGTGTAGTACCTTTTTTGAAAGGAAATTTTCTTTAATTGTTGCATTAAGCAGGTAATTTTTTGATATTTAAAGGAGTTTTCATAATAATTGGGAAAAACCAAAAAAAAACGAAAACTTTTTTTCATTTATTTAAGTTACGCCACAACGATTTGATTATTATAAATTTGTATGGACTATGTTTCTATCATAAATATTGCTATAATAAAAAAATGACAAGAAACCTTTTTTTTAAATTAAGAAATGTATCCACTGCTACAAAGAATGATAGGGTAATGATAAAATCGAGCTATATTAAACTCTGAGCAAATTGTGTTGTTACCGTACCATTTATTGCAGCATTGTGGAATTGCTTTGACAATATTTGGAGGACTAAATGTAAATGTAAGAAATGTCACATTTTTAATATTTGGTCATCACTCCTCCCCAGTAACGTTACCCCAGGGTTTCTTAAAAATGGTGGTTTAAATCATTGTATTTTAGAACATATGGCCCATTCATTAACCAATAGTTAATACCTAATAAAAAAAAACCATAACAAACAGCTATCAGTTTAATTATTTTAGCATAATACAATTATTCCTATTAAATTATATACTTATTACCACTCAGTACCAGCAACCACCCATCCAATTCATTTGGTTCATTTGAACCACCTTTATTACGTACTCGACTCCGTTACTCCTCCCCTCAAAAGAAATTCGTTAATACATTACTGTTAAATATATAGTTAATGAAAAAAAAACGGATTTTTATTTTCAGAGAAAATACCTCAAAGATGGGTGGTGACAATAATGGGCATGATGGCCGTAATGATGGCGTTTACGATGCGTACGTGTTTGAGCATAACGATGACACAGATGGTGATGCCCGTAACCATAGACTCGAAGAAAGTTCACCGAGTTTGCCCCATGCCATTGGAAAATAAAACGGTCAACAATACCATGCATATAGAAGACACTAGTAACCGATTTACGTGGGACGAAGAGATCCAGGGCATGATCTTGTCCGCGTTTTACTACGGTTACATTATAACGCACATACCGGGTGGATTTTTGGCACAGAAGTTCGGTGGCAAATTCACGTTGGCTTACGCGATACTGTCCACGGCCGTTTTGACGTTGTTAACGCCCAGCGTGGCACATATGGGGCCAATTTATCTAATGATTGTACGTTTCATCGAAGGATTAGGAGAGGTAACGTTTTTAATAAAACAACAAATATTTTATAAATATAGTAATAATTGTAAATGCAATTGTTTAAAAACAAAAAAAAAAAAATAGGTATCTGTAGTGGATTAGAGTGAAAAAAATAAACGATATCGTATTTATCATTTACGACGGTGTTTTTACAACATTCAGTACGGTTTCTAAGTTTTATTAGTTCACTTTTATGCAATAAAGTTTACCGATGTGTTTATACCATTGTTTTAATTGAATCAAAATGCGATACACTCAATCCGTTAATACTTCATACATATATATTTTCTATTACGTTTACAGGGAATGTTGTTTCCAGCACTATGTTCGTTACTGGCACAATGGTCGCCTCCCCACGAAAAAGCAAGACTTTCTGCATTAGTGTTTTCCGGTAGGTGTAGTCGAAATTACAGTGAAATACTGTTTATGCAATTTTTGTTACATATTGTATTATTTTTCATGTCCGTTTGTAGGTGTGCCGATTGGAAACATTTGCGCAAATTTATTTAGTGGTATAATCATTTATTACATACCCGGAGGATGGCCAAACGTGTTTTATTGTTACGGCACTGTCTCTTTGATATGGCTTGTTTTATGGCTAATGGTTATTTATAATAATCCACACTCGCATCCATTTATATCACCTGCAGAATGTGAATATTTATACGAAACGATTGGAAGCGTCGAAAGAAAAAAAGTAAGTCCTCTTATACCTCTATAGCTATTCTAATTAAATTCTACATACCTTTCTAATATTTATTTATTTTGTAAATAGGTTCTCGCGCAGGTAAAAACATTAGTATAAGTGATTATTAAATCTCACCTTAAAAATAATGACATTAAACGATATTTATTTCAGTATCAAAAAAAACTATGAATTGACCGGTCTTTTTATTTTTTTTTTTTTAGGATCAAGGTCCCACACCGTGGTCAAAAATACTGTTAGCGCCAGCCATTTGGGCTTTAGTCATAGCAGAAGTGGGATTCGATTGGGGATCGATTACAATTTCCAACGATTTACCCAAATACATGAACGACGTTTTACATTTTTCGGTAAAAACGGTGAGTTTTAATTCGAATTTATTAAGTACCTATTATATTACAGAAATAAATACTTGTATTTTATTGTAAATAATATGATGAATTTTCAGAACGGTTATTTAACGTCCACCCCCTACCTGGCTCAATGGATTATGTCGATGACATCGAGTGTATTCGCCGATTACATGATAAAAAAAAAACTTTTGTCGGTCACTTACATCAGAAAAATCTATGCCATTATAGGTAAAAAAATAGAACACAAGATGTTCATAATAATGACACAATGATATTAAAATATGCTATATTATTTTAGGAACCGTTGGCCCAGGATTAGGAGTGATGTGCGCGTCATTTGTTGGATGCAATAAGTTCATGGCTTCATTTTGTTTTACTATAGGAATGGCCTTGATGGGATTTTGCTACTCCAGCATCCGTATTAACGCTTTAGACCTGTCACCAAACTATTCGGCATCTATAATGGCACTGGTGAACGGGGTTGGATGCTTGTCTGGTATGATCTCTCCATTTGTTGTCGGTTTATTGACACCAAACGTGAGTATTATTTAATTAGCCAACTCTAACTTATCCGATCTCTGTATTTACTTCTTTTGAAATTTAAAGCCATTTGATAATTAAAATAAAAAGTTGTAAATGTATAAAGTGTGATCACGTGGCGTTTAAATTTAAAAACCAATAATAATTTATGAATTATTACTATTATTATTACTATAATAATATGTACCTAATAATGTATGTTATTTCAGAGAACCATTGATGAATGGCGCGTAGTTTTTTGGATAGTATTGATCACATTAGTTTTGTCATCCACTATATTTACAATTTTCGGAAGCGGCGAATTGCAGCCCTGGGATAGTGATGAAATGATTTCCGATACCAAAAATAAAGACTCCGAAAAATGTAAAGAAAATACTAGTGTTCAACGTGAAGACAAAAGTTCCTGAATTAACTCAACACAAAACTATACGTATCTACTTATTTGGATTTATGTTATTGTCGTCATACCACACACCATATCGGTCCAAGTTATAGTTTGATTACCAGAATAAAATTCAAACGGAAATGTGTAGTATTGTATAGAAATAGTGTAGGTATTTTTTTTAATTTTTAGATATATGAATTGTGATATACATATATTATATAAGTTACCATATTTATAAATAATTATACAATTACGAGTATTAATTTTATATTTTGTAAACTATTGAAGACTATTGGATCTATTTTGTATTTTTTAAAGGTTAAATTGCGTTTTTCAGAACGGTCATAAGACCTTTTGTACATAGTTTGTATTATATTTTTAGACGATGTAATAATATGGCATTGTATTATATGTTTCCTACCTTCGTGATACCATCCTTTGTCAGAATGAAATTTACGGTAAATGATAAAGGAATGTTTTCTTAGAATGTATTATTTAATAATAACAAATAATTTGATAAATAATTGTGTTTAGGAAGAACATTCATCTATAGGTGTTTGAGTTTCTTTCGAACCTGCCGTTGTAGATATATTGACGGTTCTAAACGAAAATGAATTATACGCATTCGATTAATCATCGATTGAAATTTGATATATACATAGATTATAATATAGATACATTAGAAATTGCGCGTCTTATAAGACAATATTAATTGAAATTATTAAAATTATATCTGGACAAGATTTTTATATACGAAATAGACATAAATACCTATGTATACGTAATATTTATCTCAACAGGCAATAGTATAATGACGCAACCAAATCACACTGGTCTAAATTATTATTATTTGTTTTAAACAATAAAACACGATCACGAGTTAATTAAAACGTCGATCAAGGTATTGAGACTCTTCAAAGGTTTTTTATACTATACCTACATACTACTGTGTAGGTAAATATAAGTATTTAAACATATTATGTTTAAATACCTACTTATAATCCTTAACACAAATAATCCAATAAGTTTCAATGACAAAAATAAGATAAGATTTGTTGGAGCAAAACGTTCTTTTTTTTACAAATAAACAAAAGTGTTGCTCTTTATATTATGTGTTTGATTCAGAACATGAACAACGGTACCTATATTGTAATTAAAAATCTATAAACTATTGGCACATTATCGTAATCTATATTATTTCAACTTAGCTTTTCCTTCTTTTACTGATGCATGCGAATCAATGGCTATTTTAAAATCAATTTGCCTTACTAACGCTGATTCTATAGACAAAACGCTGGTAATCTTGAAACTCTTTTTTTTATAAAACAAGACCGATGAAAGTTGTTTATGTTTGAAAGCACGCTGAAGAAACGCACAACACTAGCAATTAAAACTGATAAGATATAGAATATGCGTAGGGCCACACTTACGTTCGGGAAAAGTGTATCTAGACTTTTTGAAGTAATTCCATTCAATGAAACAAAAGGAAGAAGACTGTGAAGTTAGCTTGGTATATGTGTTTGGGGTGAATCAATTCAGTTGTTATTTTTTAATATTAACCACTAAGTACTTATAATGAACCTTCTGTTTCAAGCAATTTTCAAGCATTTCTGTTTAGTCTAATAATTTCATCCAAGGGATTCCTACCTTATAAATATTTCGTAAAAATCTCACAAAATTAAAATGTCAATAAATGTATTCAAATGTTTTGAAAATGTTATTACAACTAGAAAAAGCAAATGTAAGTTTTCTGTCAGAATGTGAAGTCTATATGAATATTTTTAATTTAATTATACGTTGAATAGAACAAAATTGAATATAATAACAGAACTATTTTCGTAAATTTTCGTACTTTCTACGCATTTTTCGGTTTTGCTTGGTTATTAAAAAAATTACAAAGAAAAATAAAAAAATGTATTACTTTCTTGATCCACAATTACATTAAAAATTCAAAAACAAAAGATCGCTTGTTTTTTATTGGAACAATATTTCTAGTAAAAGCAGAAAGTATACAAATTTAAAATAATGGAATCATAACATCGTACATTTATCAATTTTCATTTTTTGTCATCTTCTGGTTTTTTTTAATTATAATAAATACTGGAAAAAACGAAAACCGAAATAAGTACGGCTCTAGCATTCCTTTATTTAAAAATGTTTACGTCTTATGTTTTTTGCAAGAATATACTTAATTTTTTAAATTTTGTTTTTATAGTGTAATTAAGTTAAAAATATCCGTATAGACTTCAAATTTTGACAGTAAACTTATATTTTTGTTTCTAGACGTGGACAATTTTTCAAAATATTTGATCTATTAATAGACAATTAAATTTTGCATAATTAGTACGTAATTTTTATTCATCTAAATGGATAAAATTGTTAAACTAAACAAAAATTATTGAAATTTGACAGAAGGATTACTATAAAACGTTCTTAGAGATGAAAAAAAAAAAAATGATGAGCGTAATGTAGTATTTTTTTTAAGTCTTAAATCAAATTTTGACTGAAATTGTTAATATTAAGGCCTTTCAAAATATTTATAACCGATTTTCGCTCCGAATCTTTAATGTTCTATCAAAATATATAAACAAATAATTTATATGTAGAAATAAATAAATAAATGCGTCACCTGGAGTATTATGATACGTGTATTGTATGACCGGTTCCGAATTAAAAATTCATCAGTTAAATCACTAGGTCAAAAAATAACACGCGATTGAATATGAAAAAATAAATGAAGGAATACATGCAGAAAAAATATACGAACTTGTCGGTTTACATAGAAATAATTTATTTTTACGATAATTCGGTTTTAGAAGAATTACACATACACAATAAAACAAAGACAAATAATTTTAATAATGTATTAAATGTACGAACTGATTTAAAAATAATATCATATATCAATACATTTTAGACAATAAATAATAACCAAATAATTTATATTTTTTAACATATGTCCAATATTAAATCAATTTAAATAATCTCTCCTATTAAAATAAATTATTTCTATGTAAAAGGATCAATATGTATGATTTTTTTTATATGTATTCCTTATTCCGTTTTATTTTTTCATTTTGTGATTTACCAGATGACGAACTTTCAATTCGAAACCGGTCGTACAATACACATAATATCATAACACTCCAGGTGACGTATTTATTTATTTATTTATACATATAAATTATTTATGTTATTTATGTTTTTATTTTATTATTTTATTATTAATGATTTATCGTTGGTTATGGGTATACATTTAACAATTTTATGTAACCCACCTTTCCAAATACCCACTTTCCACAGTGATCACATCCGTCCTTAGTATCACTGTATCAGCTCTTTTTTTTTAGAAATTTAAAATTAATATTTAAAAACCGACTACCCCACTGTTTTTTCACTCGCTGTACCCAACTACGAGCTTCGTTTTTGGGAAAACATCATCCTAAATTCTATTTACTATTTAATGTTGTTGGTGTATGAAATATATACTATAACTATTTGATATTTTGTATACATACGCGAATAATTATTTAGTTTGTTTGTTTTAAAAACATAATTATAAAGATGACGCACTCGGGCATACCTTTATAGCTTCTTGTCTGCGTACGTGTATAAAATGTATTCACACGCATGAAAACTCAATATTCGTCAAGTCATACTAATAAATTATGGGCACAGTTGGATTTCTTGTCGTTTTATTATTATAATACAAACATGTGAAAATATCTGCAATCACGATGCAAGATGAATATAATTGTAATTTAATAAAAAAATAAAAAATAAAGTAACGGGAAATTAAATACTTAACAATATTTTACAATATAGGTACCATTATTATACCTAACAAATTGACAATAGACTTCAGTGACGAGCCCAGAGAGAGGGGCCTTGGTGTTAGGGCTTTACATCATTTTTTTTTTTAAAGCTTTTACATTATTCTGGCATATCTATTTGTCAAAATTCTATTACAGTGAATTTTTTTTTCGAATTTTATTTACGTTAGATACAAATTAGTTTTACTTTTTACGTGATGAGATCAGTAGTAATCACTGATGGATTATTTTGTTGAAAATTATTTTAGGTTCTGAGTGGAGCGAGGAATGTACCTATTGGTTTTACAATGATGTTTATTTATTATTTTATTTTTTTCTATCGAAAACTTTTCTACTTATCAGCAATTTTGCTCCGATTTACAACAGAACTTTTTTTGAACGGAAATCGTACTGGAGAAGTACTTTAAGGAGGTTATTTTTTTTGATTTTCTCAATAAATGAGAAAAAAACGGGAAAACATGGGAAAACCAAGAAAAACGTAGGAAATACGGGAAAATCGGTATAATTTTAAACAAGAAAATATATAATGCACATGTAATTATTTTACCATAATATATTGTTGTCAAAGTAACACTAACAACTGAACTCCACTCAAAATCGGTTTTTTTCGTTAGCAATTGTTAATCGTATCGCTTACAAATATACATTAAATTACCTATTACAGTGGCTGCACCCGTCCCCATTATCCTATGCCAGCTTTTTAGATTTATATTGATGCTATATAATAGTAATCGCTGAGTACCAATCGGTGTAGTCGATTAGACCCGACGATAACAATAATAATAACTGTCGACTGTTGATATCATTTTGAATAGTATGTATATTATATTTTAGCGTGCCTAGACAACCCAATAATAAGCTAATAAACTCACAACTTAATAGTTTTATAGGATTGCTTACTACGTAATAGTTGGTATGTGTGCATAACGTCATTCTTTATTTTGAAGAGAAAGCATGTAACACGAGTAGTAGCGGTAATTACACATATATTATTACCTATGGATCGAAATATAGTGTAAACACAAGTGTTATATTGTAATATAATTATTTTTATTGGTATTAAATTTTTTTTTTTTTTCGTACTTTATAACATATTTTGCAAACCTATAAAAGTATAAAGTAATAATAATAAAAAAGACAATTTATTAAATATTTGCTATCCTATATTAAATTAAACAAATATTAAAACATTTCTTAGGTAAGTTCAATTTTTAAATAACCGTAAAAAAATTAATATTTTTTTATCATTTGATTACCTATAATGGCGAGTATATTGAATGGTATAATAATTAATAAGACAACAAAATAAATTAATGACATACAAACAACTGCAACAATGTTGGATTCTTGGAGAGCTCACTACTATTATCGTACTTATAGACAATATAGGCATAGGTTATTATAATATAATACATACAAATTAAAAATACTGCCTATAATAAAATGAAATTAACATGCTATAAGAAGGTAACTTTTACTAACCGAAAAAGAGTTATCCCGAATGGAAAAAAACTACATTATATAGAAAAAAATACTATAATAATTTCATTGCTGCGTTCAGTACCTAGTACGATTCTGAGCAAAGTACGGTAAAACATGTTTGCCGTGATATTTACGATTTTTATCTATGTTTGAACTTCAAAATGCTTACAGTTAAAAAAAAAAAATAATGACTGCATTAAACTTGCCTTTTAGATTCTGAACGTAGCAAGTTATTTATAAGTTGTTCAGTGGTATGGCGCGTGCTTTACATTTTTAGATTCTGAGCGAAGTGAGGAATGTATTAATTTTACAACAATGTTTACTTTTTTTTTTATCTGTGAACAGTTTTTCTACTAGAAATCTATCTCCAATTTTTAAGTGTAGTACTTTCTATGAAAGGAAATTTGGATGGACTTTAAAAAGGAAATTTTTGATTGTCAAAGCGGTTTTTATATTAACTGAGAAAAAACGTACA